AAAGTCAGTGTGTCTGATGCATCTTGACAAGCTCTATCCAATGGTGCGTAATTCAATACATTTTGAGTTGGTTAAGCGTGCTCAAAAGACAATATACCCCTCCAATGCTATAACCCCGAGAGTAATCCCTAGAGATATTCATCTCAGACACTGTGTCAATTGGGAAAGTCAGTGTGTCTAATGCAACTTGACAAGGTCTATCCAATGGTGGATAATTCAATACATTTTGAGTTGGTTAAGAGTACTAAAAAGGCAATATACCACTCAAATCCTATAAACCCGAGAGTCATCCCTAGGGACATTCACCTGTCCCACTGTGTCAATTGGGAAAGTCAGTGTGTCTAATGCAACTTGACAAGGTCTATCCAATGGTGCATAATTCAATACATTTTGAGTTGGTTAAGAGTGCTCAACAGGCAATATACCCCTCCAATGCTATAACCTAAGTTGTAGATTTTCTTTCCGTGGCGTTTCGCCTTTTCTGCCATTAATCTGAGTATCAGGATTTGATGTATCGTGCTTCTGTTTTTTCTAAATCCTGCTTGTTCTTCCGAGAGGTGCGGCTCTAGTTGTTGCTTAAGCCTGTTAAGTAGCACAATGAGTAGTACTTTTCCTGTGTGGTTTATGAGGGAGATCGTTCTATAGTTACCACATTCACTTAGATCTCCTTTCTTTGGTATGGGTATTAGCGTGGATTTACCCCATTCTTCTGGGATGTTACCTTCTTGCCATGCTTTATTGCAGAGGCTGTGGATTTGTCGTGCTAGCTGCGCTCCTCCGGCTTGTAGCATTTCTGCTATGATGTCGTCTGGTCCCGGACTCTTGTTCTTTTTCAGTGAACGTATCGCGTCTTCTACTTCGGAGTATAGAATCTCTTGGGATTCTTCGATGTTGGTAGGTGTGATGCGTTTCAGATCCTGTGTCATGTTTGCACCACCTTCGTGATCTCTGTACAAGTTGTCGCAGTACGTTGTCCATCTTTTCATGATTTCTTCTTGCGACTGTAGTATTTTTCCGTCTTCGTCTCTTATTACATTGATTCGAGGGGTGAATTTTCTTCGTAGCATTTTTATCAGACTATATGCTTGCCTGGTATTTCCGATTGCTAGACCCTTTTCGATTTCTTCGCACTGCTGTTGTATCCAGTATTCTTTATCTTGTCTTGCTGCCTTTTTTAATTTCTTACAGAGGTCTTTGTATTGCTGTTCTTTCTGAGTCGAGGCATTCTGAGTCATTTTCAATTGACGTTTTTCATCCGCTAGTTTCAGTGTTTCCTCGGATATTCAAGGTTTCTTCGCTGCTTTCTTTGCAGGTATCGATGCTTCTGCTGCCTCTTTAATTGCCTTCTCTATTTTACTCGCGTTTTCGTCTAGGTTGTGTATTGGTTTGCTTTCTTTTATTTTTTCTACTAGTTTGTCACCATAGTTTTTTCTTACTATTTCATTTTTGAGTTGGCTCGCATCGATTCTCGTACTTTGGTGTGGCTTGTTGTACATCTTTTTGAGCCTCAACCTTATATTACACAGCACCAGTGAGTGGTCTGAGCAGATATCAGCACTTTGAAATGTTCTACAGTTGATGACCGAGGATTTCCATCTTTGTCGGATGAGGATTAGGTCGATCATATTCTTGTGCATGCCATCTGGCGACGCCCATGTCCATTTTCGGCGTGCTTTGTGCTCAAATCTTGTATTGCATATGTACAAGTCATGTGTGGTTGCGAACTCTAACAGATGCTCTCCTCTTTCGTTCCTATCACCATAACCGTACCTTCCCATTACTCGTTTCCAGTCTGTACTATCCCTATCTACTTTTCCATTCCAGTCGCCTGTTACGATGTGTATATCTTTTTTGTGTATTTTAGCTAGTGCGTCTTCAAGAATATTGTAGAACGCTTCTATTTCCTCATCTGAACAGGCGGATGTTGGTGCATATGCATGTACTACTGTGATTTTGAATGGTGCTGCATTGAACCTAGCCGTGATAGTCCGAGAGCTTATCGGATTGTATCCTATGAGTGCCTTTCTGGCTTTCATGCTTAGCAGCAGTCCAACCCCTCGTGTATGTGTGTTATCTTCTCCTGACCAGACGAAGTCTCCATTTGATGTTTCACCTTTGTCTGTCCAGGGTGTGGGTGTGGGTGTGGGTGTGGGTGTGGGTGTGGGTGTGGGTGTGGGTGTGGA